GGAAAAGAAAGAAGGTAATGGCAGAGGGGGTGGATAGGGAAAGGGAACGGGCACACTGACTCCTGGATGCGAAAGAACTTGAATTCTCTCTTTCTCACAGTCCCTAAGTGTGGTTTTCTCCCTGGGAATGAGAAACTCCTGGCTCTGCTTGCCCTAGTTAAGCCAGAAGTATGGACTCTCAAAGAGAAGTGCATTCTGGTAAGCTGGGGAACTGGGATCAATGGTAAAAAAAGACAAACAAGGCCCAGTCCTGGTAACCTTTAGGGATGCAAGTCCTTCATTCAGTGACCTGGTCCTCATCAAGATCTTGGGTTTAGAGCCCCCTTTTTCTCATTTTGTTAAGCCTTGTATTATGTTTTTCATGATTATTTTCTTTTTTCATTTGGATTCTATATTTATAATGGTATGTTTAGAATCAGACTATGCTGTATCCACTTCTGTAATTCTAGAACCGATTACATATCAGCTACACAGTGCAAATGATATGATATAGTGATGATATAGTGAGTTGGTTTAAAACCTTAGGTTGGGCTGGGGTAGAGTTCTTGCCTTGCATTCACAAGGCCCTGAATTCAATCCCCAGCACCACAAAGACAAATACAATATAAAAACTTGGGTTCTAGAGGAGAACTGCGTTCAAATCATTTACCTAGCTGATACCTCTAAGTACTTAGACATTCTGTGACACAGTTGTTTTGTCACTTAAATGGGTACAATAAGAATATATATCTTAGATGTTTCCTGTGATGATTAAATGACATAAATCATAGCACAGGGGCTGGAGAGATGGCTCAGTGGTCTAAAGCACCTACTTGGAACAAGCTTGGCAAAGCACAGGGACCGCGGTTCGATCCTCCAGCACCACATGCCAGCCAGCCGTGCCCCCTGGTGGGCTGAGCTGGCCACACACACACACACACACACACACACACACACAATAAATAAATATTTAAAAAAATTTATAAATCATAGCACAGTGCTGGACACATAACAAATTTCAGTTTTTAAAAAGTGGCATATGGGGGCTGGAGAGACAGCTCAGTAGAATAAGCACTTGTCTGGGAAGTGCAGGGTACTGAGTTCAATCCTCGGTACCACAAAAAAAAAAAAAAGTGGCATAACTGGAAGAAAGAATAAGCATAATGGGAGGTGGCATAATAGGAAATAACTTGACTGAATGATTTCTTTTCAACATAGGTGATTGCATGGATCCAGCACCTGATCCCCAAGATTGAGGATGGAAATGATTTTGGGGTAGCAATCCAGGTAGGAAAAGGTTTTGAATGAAGCTGGACATGGTGGTAGATATCCATAATCCCAGCTATTGCATGTTTGAAGTCAGCCTGGACAATTTACCAAGACCTTCTCTTAAAAAAAGGGGGGGGGGCTGGTGAGATGGCTCAGTGGTCTAAAGCACCTACTTAGAACAAGCTTAGCAAAGCACAGGGACCACGGTTCAGTCCCCCAGCACCACATGCCAGCCAGCCCCGCCCCCTGGTGGGTTGAGCTGGCCACACACATGCATGCATACACACACACACACACACACACACACACACATAAGTAAATAAATAAAATTAAAAAAAAAAAGAATGAGATGAGCTCATTTATTTATTAAAAAAAAAATCTAAAGGGTTAGCATGCATGAGTCCTTGAATTTAGCCCCTGGTACTTAGGGTAGGGAGTGGCTGTGTGAGGACACTAAGTGGGGGAGACTTGGGACTAATAAGTAGCAACTATGAACCATGAGGGGAGAGAGAGTGGTGAAGAAATGAGATTAAGTTTTTTCTTTGTCCCCTCTGTCACCACAGGAGAAAGTTCTGGAAAGGGTGAATGCAGTCAAGACCAAAGTAGAAGCCTTCCAGACAACCATTTCTGTGTGAGGGTGTTGGAGGACCTGCATGGGGGGCTGCTGGGGTATTTCTTTGGTACTCCCAAAACTAGAGAGTCCTATAAGGACGATGGCAGGCTCTGGGAAGGTGTGTGTGTTCTAATCCTCACCCTGAACACATATTCCTGTGATACTCCTTGCTCTGGCAGGTACTTCTCAGAACGTGGGGATGCTGTGGCCAAGGCCTCTAAGGAGACTCATGTAGTAAGTGTTATCTACTGGGTGTTTAGCTGAGGCTGGTGAGGGGTGGGACTGAGGGCAGGGAGAGGAAAGAAGGTGTTTCTTATTCATGACTTTCTTAATGTGTAGAATATTAAGCCAAAGCATAGAGTATTTAAAAAGTAACAACCCCAAACAACAACAAATAAAAATAAAAAAATAGCGAGGCATGGCGGTGCATACCTGGAATCTCAGCACTCAGAAGTCTGCGGAGTTCTAGGCCAGCCTGGGCTACATAGTGTGACTTATCTTAAAAAATAAAAAACAGAGAGAGAAAGAAAGAAATACATGAAAAACAAGTTGCTTAGGGCTGGCCAGATAGCTCAGCAGACTAAAGCGCCTGCTTAGGCAGTATGCAGCAGCTGGGGTTCAATCCCTGGCCTGCTGTACCGGCCCCGCCCCTGAGGTGCACTGAGACAGCGATTGAGACTGTGCATGGTGGCCCATGCCCGTGATCCCAGTGCTTGGGAGGCTGAACACAGGCAGGTCACTATGAGTCTGATCTATATATATAGTGAGACCCTGTAGACATTGTAGACCCTGTAGACCCCTGTCCTAAAGTACAAAAGAAAAAAAAAGTTGCCTAAAAAAAATGATCTGGGGGGCTGGGGAGATGGCTTAGTGGTCTAGGGCACCTACTTGGAACAAGCTTCGCAAAGCACAGGGACCGCGGTTCGATCCCCCAGCGCTGCATGCCAGCCAGCCCCGCCCCCTGGTGGGCTGAGCTGGCCACACACACACACACACACACACACACAAATAAATAAATAAATAAAGTTTAAAAAAAAAATGATCTGGGAGGCCAGGGAGATGGCTCAGTGAAATAAGTGCTTGCCTGGGAAGTGCAGGGACCTGAGTTCAATTCCTGGTTCTGCCAAAAAAAAAATCAGGACCTCAACCATCTTGACACCTTTCCCTGCTTGATCCTATGGGATCCCGTTTATTGATGCCAAGAAGGGACTTAGTTTCCAGTTACCTATTCCCTACATGAAGAAACCAGAGTAATTTGCCAGCCTCCCACGGGGCTGACTCAGCCTTGTCTCCCACATCCCAGATGGATTACCGGGCCCTGGTGCATGAGAGAGATGAGGCAGCCTATGGGAATCTCAGGGCCATGGTGCTGGACCTGAGGGCCTTCTATGTAAGTGTGGAATAAACCTGTAATGGAAATGGGTAGAGGGGGCTTCGGGAGGCCAAGAACCTAACTCCTGCTCTTCTACCCTTCCTCCAGGCAGAGCTTTATCATATCATCAGCAGCAACCTGGAGAAAATTGTTAACCCAAAGGGTGAGGAGAAGCCGTCTATGTATTGAGCCCAAGACTAGAAGAAAAAATAAATAACCTGTTCCTTGTGTGGATTACTTCGTGTGTATCATTAATGATAGCACATACTCAATGCCATATATGGCCAGACACTGCAACAAATGTGGTAGTGGAAATGCAAAGAGATGATTGCCTAGTTCTTTATCCTTTTGACTGTGACACCAGCTACAGGTGGCATGTCAGCCATGCAGATAACTCACATTTTGGAATTTAGGTTATTTCCATCTGGTGATGTCATGGTAAAGGTGACATTTGGGCAGAGTCCTTTGTGTAGGGAGCAGCTGAAACTGGAAATTGATCATGGGGCAAGATAAGGCAGGTCTGACAACGAAGAGCTCCTGAGGCAAGTCATGAAAATAAGTTCCAGCTCCAAATGCACTATGATGGTTGAGCAGTTCCTCTCCTCTCATCAGGAGAGAGGGCTCCACTTGACCCCAGCTTTCCTCTTATCTTTATTTTTAAATCCTCTTGTTGATTTTCCCCCAGGAACATGGAGAATTATGCAGGTTCACAGCACCTTTTAGGTAAGCAGGCTGGAGAAAGACAAAAGCTCTGTGCTGAGATCCACAGAGCTGTATCATTTTGGTGCAGTCAAAATATTTCCTTGGAAAGACTTTGTAGGCAGCACAGTCAAGTTTGAACTCTGGGCAACTTAGAACCTGTGTCAAAAAAAAAAAAAAAAAAAGAATGTAGCATTTGGTCCGGGGAGATGGCTCAGTGGAATAAGCACTTCCCTGGCAAGCTCAAGGGCCTGAGTTCTAATCCCCGGTTCCACTAAAAAAAAAAAAAAAAAAAAAAAAATGTAGCATTTAATTCCCAGCACCAAAATAAATGAGTTAATAAAGAAGAGTGAATACTTTGATTCCTCAAGGGCTGGCAGGGGGATAAAGTCCTAAGGAATTATGGTAAAGGAAATGTACATTATGGGACATTAAGGATGACTTGTAGGCTTTTCTTTTTGACTCTTTTGCCCTCTCATCAGCTGTTTGTCTTTATATCAGCCTTTGGGATTCTACTGTGTGTGGGAGAGGCAAGGATTCCTCTGCTGTGATCTTTGCTATAACTCCATACATTGTTTTTTAGCTCAGGGCCTTGTCCTGTTTTAAAATATAGGATAAGACTGCTGCACAACCCTTGGCAGGTCGGGAGTCCGTGTCCACACATCAGGTGCCAGATAACCTACAGTTAGGAAGGTAACCCAGTTTATTAGTGACAGCTGGTCTAAAGTGCCGATCCATTTATCCCAAATAATACCCAGCAAGGCGGTCCACTTCGACTCCACCTTCAAAGGTCTACTGGAACAGGACGGGGTTGGCTCTCCCGGGGCCAGAGGGTGATGGGCAATGGGTGGCGCAGGTAAACAGAGAAAGAACCCTGCAATCACGAGCAGAAGCCAGCCTAGCCAAGAAGCGCTAGATTTCCTTTCCCTTAAAAAGAGTGTTCTCTCCTGTTTGCTTGAAATCAAGGCGGGGTGAAACTTAGATGCGGCAGCTGATTGAACACAGTGAAAACTTCTAGGCCTATCAAAGAGTACAGCGGGGGCGGGACTGCCGCAGGGCACAGGCAGGAGCAGGCGCAGACTTGCGCTCTCGGGTTAAGGATCTGGGGGCGGAGCTGGGTGTCAGGGACGCCCCGTAGACCTCCCGGTGGGCCTCGCAGGGTACATACTCCGGATAAAGGTGGCGCAGAGCAGTCACCGTCGAACCTGAGCTAGGAGGACGGGAAAGACCGAACTCGGTTGAGTCGGGGTGGAAACCAGGCCCTCGGGCTTGCAGGGCCGGCTCGCCATGGGGGAGGTGGAGATCTCTGCCCGCGCCTACGTGAAGATGTGCTTGCACGCAGCCCGGTACCCGCACGCCGCGGTCAACGGGCTGCTGCTGGCGCCAGCGCCGCGGTCCGGAGAATGCCTGTGCCTCACCGACTGTGTGCCACTCTTCCACAGTCATCTGGGCTTGTCAGTCATGCTGGAAGTCGCCCTCAACCAGGTGCCACCACCGGACAAACACCCACACCGCAAGCCCGCTAACTCCCCTAACCCAAGTTAGGGTCAAACCCTTGGCCGCAGTGCGCACCCACAGAGCCGGCAGGGCGATTCGGTTACTAATGGCTCCTTTCCCTCAACAGGTGGATGTGTGGGGAGTGCAGGCCGGTCTGGTGGTGGCTGGGTACTACCATGCCAATGCAGCTCTGGAGGACCAGAGGTAAGTGGGCTAGCCAAAGGCAAAGACGAGGGACTGCAGCGGGGATGGGCCGGGTGCAAATGAACCAAGATCATTTCTTCTATCTTTATCAAAAGCTGAGGAGCAGGGTCTGCGCCCCAGGCACCCTGCTGAGCACTGGAGTGAGAAAACACAAGAATGAATGGGACAGACTCCTAGTCATAATATAGGAGGAGCTGTGGTGGGGGTGAGAATGGCAAATATGTTTTAACAAACCTAAGGTAATTTTGCTTTTATTATTATTATTATTATTATTATTATTATTATTTTGTCTTTTTGAGGCAGGGTTTTGCTGTGCAGTTGGGCTGGCCTTGAACTCATTTTGTAGCCCAGGCTGGCCTCCAACTTGAAGCAATCCTACTGCCTGAGTCTCCCAGAGTGCTGGAATTACAGGCATGTGCCATCATGCCACCTTGACCTTGCTTTGAGGTGCCCCCAACTAGCAAATTAAAAAAAGACTTTATATCTGCTGTGTATATCATGTATGGAGATCAAATTAGGAATACCATTTTATAGTTTTGTAATTTGGCTTACTCCCTCACTTAAAAAATATATAAAGCTAAGCTTGGTGGTGTAGGCTTGTAATCTCAGCGCTCTGGGAGGCTGAGGCAGGAGGTTTGAAAATCTGAGTCCAACCAGGGCAATTTAGAGACTTAGCAAGACTCTGTGTTAAAAAAAAAAAAAAAAAAAAGTGGGCTGAGGATTTAGCCCTGTGCGAAGGCCTTAGTACTGTAAAATTAATAGATGCATATCTAGCATCTTGTGTTCACTTTGGCAGCCCACATGAAAATTGGAACAATACAGAAATTAGCATGGCTGGGGCTGGTGAGATGGCTCAGTGGTCTAAAGCACCTACTTAGAACAAGCTTAGCAAAAAACAGGGACCCCGGTTCAATCCCCCAGCACCACATGCCAGCCAGCCCCGCCCCCTGGTGGGCTGAGCTGGCTACACACACACACACACACACACACACACACACACACATAAATAAAATAAAATAAATTAGCATGGCCCATGTGCAAGGATCACATGCAAATAAATATTTGACACTTTTCCAGCTCCATATCAATACCTACCTTAATGGCTATATAGAATAAATTATTATAGTAGTATTATAGGATTATTATGGTATAATTATAGTGTAATTATTACAGTATTTTATATAGTACCATTAATAGATTATAATTTATTTAATACCTTACACTAAGCATTGAGGTTCTCTCCAGGCACTTGCTGTGACTCTATTACAGTAAATTCTTTTTATTTATGTGTGTGTGTGTGTGTGTGTGTGTGGCCAGCTCAGTCCACCAGGGGGTGGTGCCAGCTGGCATGTGGCGCTGGGGGATTGAACCGTGGTCCCTGTGCTTTGCTCAGCTTGTTCTAAGTAGGTGCTTTAGACCACTGAGCCATCTCACCAGCCCCAGTAAATTCTTTTTTTTTTTTTTTTTTTCGGAACTGGGGATTGAACTCAGGCCCTTGCGCTTGCCAGGGAAGCACTTATTCCACTGAGCCATCTCCCTGGCCCCTCCCAGTAAATTCTTTATAAATGAAATTTCTTGTTTAGCACATGAACAGCATACAGTTTTGATTTGGATGGTTATGTCAAATTACCCTTCAGAAAGACCACCTTAGATTTCCACTCTCACAAGCAGTTTCTGAGCGCCTTTTTCCCACAGCACACAAGCATCAAGTGATCATGCATCAGGACAGAGGGAGCCCAACCCCTAAGCCAGCCACAGGAAAAGGCCAGGACTGCGCCCACTGCCAGGAGACCTAGGAGGCACAGCTCAGTATGGGGTCTGGTCACAGCCCGACCCTCACTCCTCTGATCTTCCCTCTACACAGCCCTGGGCCACTGGCCTTGAAAATCGCTGGGCGAATTGCAGAATTTTTCCCTGAGGCAGCACTTATTATGGTGAGGCTTAGGTTTCAGGTTGGGGAGGTGGAGAAGAGGAGGATCCTTGAAACTCTCACCAGCCTTTCTCTGTTCACCTAGTTAGATAATCAGAAACTGGTGCCTCAGCCTCGTGTGCCTCCAGTTATCGTCCTGGAGAACCAAGATCTCCACTGGGTCCCCAAAGACAAGAACTTGTGAGTGCCCCACTCCCCTACCTGGTTTTGGAATCTCATGGCTTCTGGGCCTTCTCTGTCCTTGGTCCTGGCCTAGATCCAGCCTCTGTTAATCTGTCTGGCCTTACTTACTGCCCACTGGTGAACCTCTGTGGGCCCTGTTCTGTCCCTCCCTCCTTCTTCCTTTTTTTTTCCCTCCCTTGCCTTCTTCTCTTCTTTCTTCAGCACAGTGGATTGAACCAAGGGAGAACTGAGCTAGATCTCCAGCTCTTTAATTTTGAGGCAGGATCTCACCTACTTGGCAGGCCTCTCACACTTGTGGTCTTCCCGCTTCTGAGTAGCAGGGATTATGGGTGTGCACAAGCACATCCAGCTTCCAGAGTTTTCTATTCCAGAGTGATGTGGAGGGACTGGGACGAGTCACGGCAGATGGTGGCATCGTTACTGGAGGGCCGGGCCCACCAGCACATTGTGGATTTTGACTGCCACCTTGATGACATCCGGCAGGACTGGACCAACCAGCAGCTCAACAGCCAGATCACCCAGTGGGTCAGGCCCACTGAAGGCAATGCCTGAGCTTGGGTCAAGAAGGCCAGGAAATAATAAAGAGACTTGGGCTGCTGGGTAAACCGTATGACTGTATTTATTGTGCTTAGGAGACAAGTGAGGGAGAAACTTTGGGAGGATGGCAGGGGCAAATCTGGAGTCCTCAGTATCTGCTATACCCACAGTGAGAGCAGAGGCCTTCAATAGATCATTCCCTTTGTTTCTCCACGGGGCTTCTTGAGCTTCTCAAAATTCTTCAGGATAATGTCATATAACACAGCCTACAGAGTCAGGGTGCAGTGGAGGTCAGCCTTAGGCCAGCAGGGTTCTCTGCCCCATTTAGAGCCTCGTGGAGAGGTAGGCTTTGTCCTCCTTTGCCTGCAGGATCAGGCAGTAGGTGGCCTTACCCCACCCCTACCCTGCCCTGCCCTCCCATCGCCTCCTCACATAAGCATTACGGATCTCCATGACCATCAGCCGGATGTCCCGATACTCTGCCTCATCCAGTTCGTGCACCAGCTGCCGATAATCACCCTGTGGAAACCTGGGGTCAGTCCTGACTTGAAATGTGTCCTTTCCCTGTGAACCCTAGCCTGAGTGTCACCTACCACGTGGGGCTGTTTGGCTGCTTTGGTTACTGCATCACCACGCTCAGAGAAATACCTGTAGAAAGCAGAAGCAGTGTGTACAGAATGGAAGAAGGAAGAGGAAGCCCAGGGCTCTGTTCCCAAACAGGTCAGAGAGTTCAGGTGACCTGTTACTCACTTAGAGATCTGAGTGTGGAAGCCTTCTAGCTTTGTGTGAAGGCTGGTCATCAGTTCAAACACTTTCTCCTGGGAAAGGAAATAGGGAGGGAAGATTGGGGGAGTGGAAGGAGGTGTGGGCTACATAGCAGGGCAGGGGAGAAGGGGGCAGTGCTCCTACCTGGACAGCCACCCCAAAATTATTTCCATCCTCAATCCGAGGTATCTGTAGCTGCAACCAGGTAGTGACCTAGAGGAAAGGAATGGCATCAAAATCACAACCAATTCTTAGGTCCCTATTGTCCATTCTGTCCCTGCCCATACAGGATGGAGGGATGCCAGGTCATCTTGAGCCTGAGGGCCTGGGCTGCTAGCTTCACTTAATGTGCCCTCTCCTACTAAGACCTGGAAAGTACCATGCCCTAAGTGGCACTAATTAAGGGGACAAAGGATTGGACCTGAATGAAGCCTTGGGGTGGAAGAAGGAAGACTTACCAGGTTAAGCTGCTCAATGACATCTTTGATCTCAGGCTTCAGGCGCTGCAGGAGGACTACGATCTTCTCATTACAGTTCACTGGGCCACAGGGAGGACCTAGAGAGTAAGCAGTGGGTCAGTTCCACAATAGCCTAGGTGAAGGGGAGGGAGAATGGTAAGGAATCTTTAGGACTGGATTGGGACTCAAGTCCTACCATTACATTAATCTCATGTACCTTTGTCTTCATCTTCCCCTTTCTTCTTTTCACCCTTGTCTTCCTTCTACAGGGAGAGAGAGGCTTATGGGACAAAGGACTAAGACTGATTTTTTTCCCCTTGGTCCAGCCCTTGTTCCCAGGTCCTGCCTTGCCTCCTGCTGTTTCTTTCGCTCCTCCTTCTCTTTTTCTTTGACTGGATCAGGTATTGGAATGTCCAGGGGGGCCTTCAGATTGTTTAGGTTGGCTTCATTGAGAGCTGGTTCCTGGCACAGGGTGGGAGGAGGGGCTGAAAATGAGGTTGTCCCTCTTGCCTTTTTACTCTCATGAGCTCCCATACTCTCCTCTTGCCCTCTAGCTTCCTGCCTCACCCCTGATACCTTTAAAAATGCATCCAGCTCAGAAATCTTCTTGGGGAAATAGCTACCGAGCAGGTTCTCTGCCTGAGGTGAAGGTTGAAGAGGCCAAGGTCAGAATCACATGGTTTTCCTAGGCAGTGAGGCCAGAGTGACACTGCCCCACAGGGAGGGCTGAGCAAAGGGAGCTGGGTAGGGGTAGTGATGGCAACTCCTACCTTGGTGCACAGATCTTCACGAAACACATCCACCTGTGGGGCACAGGCAATCCTTCAGAAACCTAGGCCGGTTCATTTGGGGACAGTTTTCTTAGGGTTGTGGAGGATCTGACTCAGAGAAAAGTGAAGTGGGTTCCTCTAAGGCCATGCCTAAATGTGAGATGGGTCCCTGTGGGTGTGGACTGGGGTAGTGGAAACTTGGATCTGGAGAGGGTGGGGCTGGATTTGGGGATCAGAATATTCCCTGTGGTGAATGGGTCATGAGAACAAACATCCTTGGGGTCTCCTGGGCTGTGTGATGAGGGATGTTAAGAGAGCTTTCTGTGGGTTCCCTGTGAAGTGAGCTCCGGGGATCCCACCTAAGAGAGAAACCATGAGGTGGCAGGGTCAGTCCGGTTCCCAGCTGTGTGGGGCCCGAGGCCAGCACGGTTCCCCTTCACGCCAGCTCCTCGCACCACCTCACCCCGCTGAACCAAGGCAGCCTGACCTTTCCCTGGGGATCAGGTGTCTGGGCCCCCTGCACTTGGACGGGGGGGCCTTGGACTCAGAGCCCCTGGCCTCGGACGGGCCCTCTTGACTCGCACCCCTAGATTCCTACAGGCACCCAGGACTCGGACAGAACCCCCTCCCCCCGACCCCTCCCTCGCCAGGTCGGGGGCTGGTGGGAGAAGCCCTCAGCTCTTTGGAGCCACGCCCCCCCCCCAGCGGACCCTTCGTAGGATCCGCCTTGCTCACCTTAGCTTGGGCTTCGGGCTGGATCCTGAGCGTGGCCATGGCCGGGTCAGGGGCCCAGCGCGCACGAGGAGCCAGGAGTAGGTACAGGGAAGGGAAAGCGAAAGCAGCACTCACCACCCGCGCGGTCTTCCTGGGTAGTGGGGAGTGGAGAGCTGCGAGGAGGCGGGGACTGCCGGGGTGGAGGAAGGCGGCTGCGGCTGGGGCTCCCCCTAGAGCAGCCCGGGAGCGTTTCAGACTCGCTACTCTGCCTCCCGCCAGCGCTCGAGCCCGCCTCCCGCAGCCTCAGCGCCTCTGCCCGTCAGTAGCCTGCCTGCCTTCTGCCTCCGCCCCTCCTGCCCCTGCCTTCTATCTCCTGTCTCCTCGCCCTCTTTCCGCAGCGTGGCCTGGGACAACGATGTGCTTTGCGTGGCGCTCTTCCATCTCTTCCGACCTAGCCTTATCAACGTGGTAACCTGGCTGCCTAGGCATCCTCAGCACCACAAAGCGACACACAGACACTTGAGGCACGCACCATTTCTGTTCAAGCCCAGTTAACTCTTCCAGGACCATTGCAGCAAACTTGGTTCCTCTACAACTGGGTTCGCGCCTCTCTACAATGAAATCCAAAGGCTTTTTTTCATAGCCTGGCTGACACCTGCCTTCCCTTTTAAGTTCACTTTCTACTGCTCTCTCTCATTCTTCACACCTGGACTTTCCATTTGTTTCTTTCTTTTCTTTCTTTCTTTCTTTCTTTATTTATTTTTGCGGAACCGAGGACTGAACTCAGGCCCTTGAGCTTGCCAGGGAAGAGCTTATTCCACTGAGCCATCTCCCCGGCCCTCCATTTATTTCTCAAAGGCATTCTGTTCATTCCTTCCTCAGGGACTGTGCCCTTGAGAAGCCCTTTGCTTGAAACACCCTTCCCCCAGTTGTCATCTTCCATTTCTCTGCTCAAATGTCACCTCTTCAGGGAGAACTTTCTCTATTATCCATTATGAAGTATAGTTTCTTTTCTTTTTTTTTTTTTTTTTTTTTTTTTTTTGATGGACCCGGGGATTGAACTCAGGCCCTTGCGCTTGCCAGGCAAGCGCTTATTCTATTGAGCTATCTCCCTGGCCCCCAATTATGAAGTATGGCCCTCCAAGTCTTATTACAAATCAGCCTTGTGAGTACCTTCAAAGCACTTTCTAATAAGCCTACTTATTAATTGTATTAAGCCTACTTATTAATTGTATTATTTTTAAATGTATTTGGTTGTTACAGGGTCTCACTACACAGTTCAGACTCAAAGTGATTCTCCTGTTTTCAACCTCCTCAGGGCCCTGCCTCTGTGGCCAGCTCAGCCCACGCTGGGAGCAGGGCTGGTGTGGTATGTGGTATCAGGGATTGAACCTGAGTCCCTGTGCTTTCCTAAGCTTGCCTAAGCAAGCACTTTAGACCACTGAGCTATCTCACCAGCCCTGAGACAGGTTTTAAACAGGGGCTGGGCAGGTGGTAAATATTTTAGATGTTGCAGGCCTTAGAGTGTCTGTAGCAACTACCCAATTTTGCCACTGTAACAAGAAAACATCCCATATGCATGAATTAAGGTGGCTATGTTCCAATAAACATTTATAGGTGCTTGAATTTCATGCAGTTTTCACATGTCATGAAATTTGATGTTTTAAAACCATTTAAAAAGGAGAAAACTGGGGCTGGTGAGATGGCTCAGTGGTCTAAAGCACCTACTTAAAACAAGCTTAGCAGAGCACAGGGACCTCAGTTCAATCCCCCAGCTCCACATGCCAGCCAGCCCCGCCCCCTGGTGGGCTGAGCTGGCCACACACACACATAAATAAATAAAATTAAAAAAAAAGAAATTAATTATTAAATATTAAAAAAAATAAATAAAAAGGAGAAAACTACCTTGGCTCACAAACCACACAAAAACTGGCCACAGCAGGGCCATAGTTGGCTAATCTCTGGTTTAGAGCACAGGCACTGTCTGGATTTGTAATCCTGGCTTCTCTGTTAACTGTGAACAAGTTACTTATCCTCTTTGCCTGTTTTCATACTGTACAATAGGAATGCTACTAAATTCACCTTACTAGTGAGGATTAAGTGTATTAATGTATAAAGAAATTATAGACACTTAGAGCAGTGCCTGGTATAAAGTAAGATCGGTGCAAGTGTTTGTATTTTTGTGTGCTTATTACCTGCCTCCTTCAGTTAGCTCATAAATTCCCAAACAACAAAAACCTTGTCTTATTCACAAGGCACAAAACTATGCTTGGCTAAATAAACATTTGCTAAATATTTAAATATATACAGAGACTGCTAGAAAGGAGAAAGCCTGGTTCCTGAGAAGGTGGAAAAACTAGGCTGGAGATGGAGCACCTGCTCAGTGAACACACACACACACACAGAGCATTGTTACCTGCCTTAGCAGCATTTTGTGGTACTGGTGATTGAATCCAGGGCCTTTGCTCTGACAGTTATATCCCCAGCCCTTAGTACTTTTTTTTCTTTTTTTTTTTTAATCTTTTGAGGGCGAGGGATATAGCTCAGCAGCATAAGTGCCTGCCTGCCATACATAAGGTCCCAAGTTCAATCTCTGGTACTGCAAAAAAAGAAAAAAATCTTTTGAGATGGGGGTCTAACTAAGTTATCAAGTTTCTCATGTCAGGGTCAAATTTGCAATCTTCTTGCCTCAGTCTTCCCAATTGTGATTACAGGCATGCACTATCATGCCTTGCTGTGCCGTTCTTTGATATTACGGCATATGCAGGTAATACCATAACTTGGGAGGCTGAGGCAAAAGGACTGCTGAGAGTTCAAGGGCAGCCTGGTTTACACAATGAGTTCAAAGCTAGCCTGAGCTACACGATGAGGTGTCTCAAAACCAACCAACCAACCAACCAACCAACCAACCAACCAACCAACCAACCAACCAACCAAAAAACCCAAGCCCGAACTCAAACCTCCTCAAAAGCTCCTGACAGGTAGAAGTCTATAGATTAGAAAGCTGACAGGACAGTAGAAGGGGTGGAGTGCATGTTCCAGGAAGAACATCCAAGACTGATGAAAGCAAAGAATGACTGAAGAAACCCTAAGCCCCAGACCCTTTTCTTACCCTTCTCACCCTTTCCTGGCCCCAAACAAAAGATGAAAGGAGACTGAGCCAGGCCAGATGTGCCTTTATTTCTTTTCAGTTATGCTTGCGGCTGGAGTGGGCACGGGGGAAGAGCCCATGGCCTGGACTCCCTGGAGACCAGGGCTGATGATACCAGCTACCATAGGTGAGATACCAGGCAAAGGTACCTACTGCTGCACCCACCACCTTGTGAGTATATTGGTGGAAATAGATGACAGTGCAGAGCAGCAAGAAGTTCCAGAGGCCCAGCAGCAGCACATTGAGCAGGAAGACAAGGCGCAAGGGGGCACCAGCAGGCAGCCCATGGGCCAGGTACTTGGCAAACACGGCTGCTTCTTCGGCCATGAGCAGGCAGCAGAAAGTGAGCAGGAAGGTGTGGGAGGAAACTGTGTACCCCCGCCACTGGTGGCCAGCTGCCAGGCAGCTGCGGCGGTCAGGCAGCTCATGGAGCAGCAGGCCCTGGGGTAGGGGCTCAAAGCAGGAACCGGTCAGGTCCTCGATGAGCAGGAAGGCTCGGCCGGCGCCCCGCCACACGGCAGCCCCCACCACTAGTCGGCTCAGGTGCCTGGCAGTCACTGCTACTCGCCGAGTAGCCAGGAACACCACCAACAGCACAAAGCCCCCCAGGAAGGTGCATGTCCAGCCCCACGCTGAATTCACAAATTTTCTGTGGGCAGAGAAGAGGGAAGGCTATTGAGAGCCCCAGCCCCAACCCCCATCCTGGTCTGTGTTCCATTACTGCTCTGTCCCCAGTCTTACACTGTCACTGGTTCCCTCCCATGCCCTTTACCATCCACAGCCATTTTTAAATTGACCTCCTTAGAGGGCCACTCAGCATTCTAGGATCCATATTTCCTCTTCAGCCCTACTCTACTCCTGTACCCCCAGGCTTGGTGCCCTTCCCCCTCCCCCGACCTCAACCTCTGTGTCTATTTTTAGTGTAAAGACTGGCAGGAGAGTAGAAGTCTGGAGAAGAGAACTGCGATCATACAGCGCAGGGAGCTGGCTCCCACACCCAAGTGGACTCACATGTTGAAAAAGTTGCCGTGGCTGGCGAAGATAGTCCGGGAGTTGACATGGAACTGCAAAAGCGGCCCAAAGATGACTACTGCTGCCAACCAGGCATGGTAGAGGCGCCGTAAGCAGGGGCTGCCTAGGAGGCGGGCAGCCTGTTCACTTCCAAAGTACAACAAGGCAGAGGCCACCCAGAGCAGCACCTTGACCAGGCAGCCCAGCAGTGCCCGGATTCGGGCCCCGGTCCCCGGCCCTGCCCCCACCACCGGCCCCCGCTCCATGTTCCCTCCCCTCCCACTGCCTGCCTGCTCTGCTAGGCAGCTGAGGAGGGGCTGATGGGGCCCCCCCGGACAAGGACAGGCAGTGACAGGTGTGGCAGACACAGGGCAGAGCCCTGTTGGCAGCTGGCAGGCGGGGGAGAAGGGTGGGGGGCAGTAAGGGGCCAGGGTGAGGGCTGCTACATCAGCAGGGGCCTGGCCTCCAATAAGTGGTAGTGTCCTGACAGCAGCCCATGTCCTTTCCTGTTAGCCCTGTCTCTTCAGCTCCAGCTATATTCTAGCTCACATCTCAGGCCAGGCCTGCTGTTCTGAGCTGTCCCTGTCCATGTTCTGCTTAGGTCTGCTTGCCTCGGTATGGTCAGCCAAAGTCTTCACATGTTTTTGCTCCACAGGGAAGTCAGAGGTCATGAAGATAAAACTAGAAAGTCATTAAAACAAATCTAGGCCTCTGTCCTTTCTCTGGGGTTTCTGAGAAGCAAGGTGTGCAGGGCTCTGTGTCCACCTCAGGTTGTGGGAGGCCAGCTGGCAAGGGTATCCACTGCAATGTGCTGTGACTCTAACGGCTTAGCCAAGTTCTGCCTCCTTTTAGGGGCTCTCAAGGGCTGGGTGGCCCAGGACTGCCATGCAAACTGGTGGTTGTGCAATGAATGAACAAGGCACACATCTAATGGGGGCACTTTTTGCCTGAAGATTAACAGATGAAATGTAGGTATCCCGAGAAAGGAATTCTATAAGAAATGATGGTAACCAGGTTGGGCACTTGTAGCCCTAAAGCTCAGATTTACTCTTAGGTGATCGGTAGAAATGATCCTAGGAAAGAAGTGCCATCTGGAATCCATCAAAACCTTAGGTTCGGGGCTGGGGAGATAGCTCAGTAGGACAAGTGCTTGCCTGTCAAGTGCAAGAGCCTGAGTTTTCCTAGCAAGCACAATAGTCTGAGTTCAATCCCCAGTTCCACCAAAAAAAA